CTGTTGCCACTACTACGAGTGTATTGACGCTACTGCTGCTCCACATCGCGCCGCTCCGTATTTGTGACCCATTGTGTGCAGATTTTCCTGACGATTTATGATTGCTGCAATGCCAATGCTGCTGCTTACGAACTGTTTGCCGTTTGATTATGGTTGTTGTTGCCAGCTACTAGTTGTCCTCCGATCAGCAGTTATGCTAAGAAGGTGCGATAGGTGCAATATATTCGGTAGTTGAGGCTTGTTTGTCGTTTTCTCGTGCACTTTGTTTGTCGGTTAGTCTGTCATTGTAAACATGAGCGATGATTTTGACGCTGATGCTACAAATGATGAAAAATATTCGCGTTGATTACGGTTAGTCGCTGTGTTGTTCAACGCTGATGCTTGTTGTATTGACACGAATGTCAGAATGCTAAGAAAAAGAGTAGTGCGACAGCTTTGACTACGCGACTTTCGATTAGTTAGAGACGAACTTATGAAGTTATGTTAAACATGCGAACAATATGTCCAGAAGCGCAAAGATATCTTCAGATGCGCCGGCAGGCACTTGGTTTAGGCTTTTATTGACTGATCAGCGCGGGTGATATGTAAACATTCTTTGCACATTTCGAAATATATATGAATATGTAGAGCGTTTCGTCCATCACTTACTTTCGAGTACTTATTCTTTTGTGCCTAGTCTTCTGTGAGCGCTTTCCTCAGATCTCAATAAAATTTGTGCCGAATGTTGCCACATACGTGTAATTACATTAATTAATAACAATAATTTATCAGTGATTGTTGGCTGTGGAGTTGCTTTGCACTAAGCAGCAACCAGTTTGCCACCACTTTTCGCCATATTTAGTGTAACTGTGTAATTTCCTTTTGAAATTCTTATTGCAAGTAAGTGTTTGCTTGAGAAAATAATCACATGAAAACTCGGCCACAGAAACTATCAACTCAATCGTTCGGCTAAACATGTGCTTATGCGCAATTATGTTCGGTTGCTTGTTGGAATGATCCATCAACGATCAATTTGCACGAATTGCAGCTGTCGTAAACTGGCATTTGCCATAATTTATGTTCAACTCGACGATTGCCGTTTGTTGTTGACAATTATTTGCAAGCGCGTTGCCTTCGCATGGCCAATGTATTCATTTACTTAGAAACGAATTGATATAAAGTCATTGAATAAAATTTTAGATACATAAATTTCATTAAAACCTATAAATTATTTACTTTTATTTATTACATTGCTTATATCTTTGAACTAAGTACTTTTATGACATACACGAAAGGACCTTTTTTGGAAGTTTTTTGATAAAACCAGCTGTTCACTAAATTTTTTCAAAAATTGTTTAAACTCGTGAAAAGTTACTTACTTGAAGTCAAAATGAAGGACTCAATTTTTAAGGGAGTTTTTCTCAACACAAAAAACAAAATTTTCCTGTGTCCGTGAAGAATCAAAAGCTTTCAATGAAGCACCCTAATGTGCATATATGTATAAGTAGATATCTCACGAGTTTTGCTAAAACAACTTATCTCGACTTAGTGTATTTATGCTTAAATGCTCTGATTGAAATAATTATTACAAAGTTTTTAATATATTTAGTATAAAAACCTCTCAAATGAAGAAGCATCTATCAAAAACTATTAAAAATTTGATTTAATATGTCAAATTAAGTTCACTCAAAGGTAAATCTGCTTAAAGAGAAAGCTTTTTTGTAAAAATTAGTCATATGTATATGTTAAATAATTTAATTTAATTTGAAGCGTAAACTACAAAATGTTTTGTTCACTAAAATATTTCGAACTTTGTGCCATAAAAAGTGCTTTTGTGGGGAGTTCTTTTTCATTACTTTAATATGAAGAAATTACTCCATGAAAATTCGAACACAAGAAGAGCTCGCAGAATCTTTGGAGTCACAAAAGCAGCTATTTCAACAGGTTAAAAGGCAGTCGGATACATCAAAATCATGGAAATTCGATGTGATATTAATTATAGCCGAGGGACATTGAAAATTGCTTGATTCATTCTTGGCCGCGAAGCCGACTCAGTTCTTTTGGAATTGAATCCACATATCGCCAAAAAGATAAGGAAGTGTTATAGCTTCAGATGGGCAACACTTTTAATAAAACACGTTTTTATTAAATAAACATTCACGCACGAATATAGTTACCTAATAGTAAAAAAGCAATTTCTTGTTACCACTTAAGGAGGCATTCACATACCATTTTTTATTAAATCCAATTTAATAACTTCCTTGCTTTATCATGTTAATTTTGTTAAAATAGAACTAAGCCTAAAAATATTAATTAATTAAAGGATTAGGTTTATGTCTCCTTTTAGATTGAGACATCGTTTTTAGCGGTACATTTAATATCTCCTTTATAGCAAAAATCATTGAGCTAATCGAAATTGTCAGTTCATTGACATTTTCGTAAGCGCTAATACTTTTTTTAATACAACAAACAAGCAAATAATAAAACGGAGCCAGTTCTTCTCAATAAAGCGAGTGATAAAGTAATTCAAGCTATAATCAGTAGCTTTTAACATTGAAATTCAACTAATGCGCTCATGAAAAATATAACCTCACAAATTGAGTATTTCAATAAATAATAAATTTATTCGCTTTTTTTGGAACCCTTTCTTTTAGACCACTTAATTATCGGATTGTTCACACGGATTTCGAAATTTTTTTTTTGATTGTAAACCTAAAATTAAGTTACGCAATATTAATATTATACGATATTATTATTGGCATTATCTCAGATGTTTTTGCTTGAACATTTTTTATTATTATTATTTATTTATTTGGAAAATATAGCTGTTTATAGCAGCATATTGCTTTTAAAATAAAGTTTAATAACTGAAGATCCCAAACATCAAATACCGATACGGCTTAAATATATGCATATATTGAATTTATGAAATATCAATTGTCTCAATAAATTAAATTATGAATGCATAAACCTTACTTAGAGAATTCAGGTGAAATTAGAATAAGCGTTGAAAGAACAAGCTAGGTTGATTTTGCAGGAAAAACATATTTATCTAGTGAGTTGGTTATTGCTAAAACAAACTAGATTTTAAGATACCCCGGATTATATATTTATCCTATATATGCCAGTCATTAGAAAAAGAACATTTCTATTGGTTAAAACAATGGCACAGATGTTTGGTTACTCGTATTCGTACAAAACAGTTTTGTAGAAAGACCGTTCAAATTTATTTAACTCTTATGAATTCTATCCTTTGCTTTCTGACTTTTGGTGAAATTATCATTGAACACTGATGCAAAATTTTATAAATTTTTATATAATTGAAATTCAATTTTTATATACTTTCTATACTCACCTTTCAGTTTATGAAAATAAGTTCATATGTTTCATAAAATCAGTACCTCACATTGTTTTAGGAAAAAACGGTTGCACAATTTTACACCCTGAACAGGATATATTAAGTTATATATAATATAATTGACCAGCGAGAATAGCTGAGTCGATTTAGCCATGTCCGTTTGTTTGTCCGTCTGTCTGCCCATATGTTTATATACGAACTAGTCCCTCAGTTTATGAGGTATCGACCAGAAATTTTGCATACGTCCTTTTCTCACCAAGCCTGTTCATTGTCGAAATCGATGATGTCGCCGATGTCAGACCGCTATAGCATATAACTGCCACATAAAAATTATTATACCCTGAACAGGGTATATTAAGTTTGCCACGAAGTTTGTAACACCCAGAAGGAAACAGCGGAGACCATATAAAGTAAATATATAAATGATCACCGTGACGAGCTGAGTTGATTTAGCCATGTCCGTCTGTCCGTCCGTCCGTCCGTCCGTCCGTCTGTATATACACGAACTAGTCCCTCAGTTTTTGAGATATCGATCTGAAATTTAGAACAAGTCTTTTTCTTACCAATAAGCTGCTCATTTGTCGGAACGGCCGATATCGGACTACTATAGCATATAGCTGCCAGACAAACTGAACAATCGGAATCAAGTGTTTGTATGGAAAACTCTTTCATTTGACGAGGTATCTTCATGAAATTTGGCGTGTATTATTATTTAAAGCTTTCATCTAATCTCCGAAGAAATTGTATAGATCGGATGACTATAGCATATAGCTGCCTTATTAACTGAACGATCGGAGTAAAGTGCTTGCATGGAAAATTTTATTTTTTGACGAGGTGTCTTCAGCAAATTAGGCACGAGTTATTGCTTAAGGCAACAAATTATTCTCCACAGAAATTGGTCAGATCAGATCACTATATCATATAGCTGTCATACAAATTGAACGTTCGGAATCAAGTTCTTGTAAGGGGCCTTTGTATTTGTGAAGGGTATTATAGCTTCGGCGCAACCGAAGTTAACGTTTTTTCTTGTTTTTATATCCCTTTATGCGATACAAAAAATGCACCAGTGGAGGGTATTATATCTACGGTGCAGACGAAGTTAACGTTTTTATACCCTTAACAGGGTATATTAAGTTTGCCACGAAGTTTGTAACACCCAGAAGCAAACGTTGGAGACCCTATAAAATATATACATAAATGATCAGCATGATATGCTGAGTTGATTTGGCCATGTCCGTCTGTCTGTATATATACGAACTAGTCCCTCAGTTCTTAAGCTATCGATCTGAAATTTTGCACCTGTCCTTTTTTCACAAAGCAGCTGCTAATTTGTCGGACCGGCCGACATCGGATCTCTATAGCATATACATATAAACTGAACAATCGGAATCAAGTACTTGTATGGAAAACTCTTTCCTTTGACGAGGTATCTTCACCAAATTAGGCACGAGTTATTGCTTAAGGCAACAAATTATTCTCCACAGAAATTGGTCAGATCAGATCACTATATCATATAGCTGTCAAATTGAACGATCAGAATCAAGTTCTTCTAAGGAGCCTTTGTATTTGTGAAGGGTATTATAGCTTCGGGGCAACCGAAGTTAACGTTTTTTCTTGTTCTTGCTTTAACTTGTTTTAATTTAAATTGTATACATTAACTTACTCTCGGTGGGAAAGGCCGTTGGCCCCTCAAAGCCTCATGCAACCCGGATGCAGCTTCCGAAAGTACGACTAAAGCTTGTGACGGCAAATGGCTGCTACCAAATGCGTTGCTTTCCATACTACGCACCTACAGGCGTCGGCAAACGCTCGCACCGCACAAAACTAACAATTTAATATGTCTACAAAAAACACAGTTACACTTATTGTTTGAACTTTTATAAGCGTAATTAGTATTAGTAATTAAATACTTTTTTTTTGCAGAATTGTAATTAATTGTTGGCGTTTACAAATTCAAATCACGGCATTGAAAATTATCATGGTGTGCGAACATTTTGCTTATTTATTGTTGCATAACGAAACTTGCATTTGTTTATTGGTAATTTACATTAACACATTTATATACTTAATTAAACTTTCACTAATTTATAAATTAATTTCTTTTTTTATTGATTTTGTATAAATATTGCATTTAGTTTTATTTAATATTTTTACTTTTTTGTTTATTTTTTATTGGCACAATCGTAGAATTCGCGTACTATGTTAATTGGAAGCGCTCACGAACGAACTGTCGCCGTAGGTGTCTGCTGGTTGACGTTTAGTTTGGCGACGTGCATGAATTTAATTACTTTTGAACAACTGCTGCTGCCACTAAACACTGCATCGAACTTACTGCAGCGCAGTTAATTAATTTCATTTTATGTAATTATTTTTTTTCTCCATATAAGCCAGTGTATATACACACAAACACCTACATGTACATATACATACATGTAATTACGTATGTATGCATTTATGACAGACTTTTTTGTTTACCCACCTCTAACATATACCTATAATATTAGGTATTTACTTAACGTTTCTTTAATTTCCATTTGTTTTTGTGGACTCAACTCAACTCGTTTCGCCGTCAGCTCGTACGTGTATACTCCGAATGTTTGCGACACCCGCGTGAACGCGATTTCTGCGCTAAACTGAATTGACGTAAAGCACTTACTGCCACAGCTGCACAGTCAAACCTGTTTCAAATGCTTGGCACACACAACATTGTTATTGTTGTTGCAGTGTTAGCTGGTTATGTGGTCGGGGCCATACTTGCGCACTGCGCCCATTTACAAATCGCCTATGCGATGCGTACGCAGGGGTGTTCGGCAACGCCTTTTTCGCACAGCGGGGAAATGAACACTGCTGATTGGCTGTTGGATCGCTGGTATGTGTTGACTGAGCATAGGTGCTGAAGTAACGGAAACGTCGACCCGTTCACACTCGCTGCGCTTTCACTTCGTGCACATGCTCACACACATATATGCTCATAACAAGCGGCAGTTTGTAATGCAATATCTATATGTATACAAATAAATATATATCTGGCTGTGTGCCTATCAGTTTAATAGCGCATGGTTGACCTTATTTTGAGGGTGTGTGTGCTTGTTGATGTGTACTAGATTGCAGATCCGCCAGGCACCAGTTGGGTTCCCATATGTTTCGCATCATTTACTTTTCACGATTTTACGAGCATTGTGTGCGAGACTTTTGTTTGTTTACTTCTTATTATTATCTTTGTTGTTGCTGTTGTATTAGTTGCCTCCAAATTATGCTTTTGTAGTTACTGGTTTTGTTGTTGTTCTTGTTGTAATTTATTCAGGCGTGCACACATATGTATGTGAAATTACCCTCTTTCACCCCCAATTTTGGCAATTTGCATTTACTGTTTATTCCGATTGTCAGTTGTTTCTTCAAAATGTTTGCTTGTCGGTATGCCGAGATGTAGCTACATGTGTCCATATGTCAATTTGCACGTCTGTTTATATACTTAATTGTGCATGGTTGGTGAAGCGATATTGGACTTTTGTACAGATTGTGTGTTCAACCCATTTATTTAGCTGTCTAGTCCTTGTCCTCCGAATACCTATTATTCGTTTGACACCTGTGCTATCGCCTGGAGGAAATAATATATACATACATACGTACGTATAAGTTATATATCATTTTTTTATGCAAAGTTTTGCCTTCTCTTAAATAAAATTTCATCTCTGAAAGGCACGTGTATTTTCTTATGATTTAAATACAAGGAGGTTAAGAGAAATATTTAATTGAAACGATATTCACCTTTTATATTCTTAGAAAAAAGTGTCTGTGTATCTATCTATGTACATCTATGTTTTTATTAGTTTAGGCCAATCTAGAGCCCTACAAATACCTAACTTTTACAATTTGTTATATGTACACAAAAAAAGGAATCGAATTTCTTTCTTTCACATAAGTTTTGATGTATAAACAAATTTATATTGGCACTAGTTACTGAATGCTGGCCAAACTCCGGTATTATATAATATTTTCGAGATGGGCCTCTGTGATTCTTAGAACTCGTGCTATCCGATTTAAAGTAAATAAAAGGAACTTGATCAGCATAAGATTTGCTAGTATATGGAAGTTCGTACGTTGTAGCTTTACATAATTTTTTTCCCAAATGACTGATCCTAACCCTTTGAAACTACAGCGGGTTGGATAAGAATTTTTTTCAATATTCTGCCAATTAAATAATGTTTTTTAGATGCTAAAGTGTACAAAAAAAACTTCTATTATTTGAAAATCCTCTTCCTGGGTGTACTATAAAATTACTTAAAGCAAATTGAGATAAATAAAAAAATTCTTATAGAAAAATGGAATGATTCTTCAGAAACCAGAGAAACCAGAAACGCCAAAATGTAGGGCATGTACTGACTGTTATAAAACTTTAGAACATTCGAAATATCTTTCACCGTAGATACCCAAAAACAATTGCGGTCGGTCGGTTTTTTTAAACGGTTTATTCATACAAAGTAATTTTATTTTTTAAATAATTTTTATATAATACAAATTTGTCTAACGGTTTATTTTTTAATGATGTTCTCTACATAGACAATTTGAACTCATCATGGACAGTTCGGAAAAGTTCTTGTAATTTCCATCAATCATGCAGAGAGTTTTTGATTTTTATTTATTTTGAGGATCCCTTTGGAGGCTTTGAGTCACCAATATGTGGACAAACTTGTTCGAAATTTTGTATCAATGCAATTTTTCGAAAATACTTCAAAAATATACAAATTAATTGATGTGGCTAGAGAAAGTTCAAACTATAATTGTATAACCTGTATTCGAATTATATACAATTTTTGATTTTTATTATATCATTTATTCATAAATAAGGCGTCTTCTATTGTTTGAATAAAATTTGCACATTAATTTTTATACTCTTGCAACATGTCGCTACAGAGTATAATACGGTTGGCTGTATTACCTTAAAATAATCGAGCTAGATATAAGGTTATATATATAAGGTTATATATATATTATATATATATATATTGGGTGTATGCATTAATTCATGCGGTTTTCTAAGAGAGGGCTCTACTAGTATTATTTCGCGTCGTGTTCATCTGTGGCTATATTCATTTCAAAGGTACTGTCATTTCGCGTCGTTTTCGGTAGATGCCATTTATTTTAGCGTGAACAACAAATTGTTGCATTCATTTGAAAATGTCGAAATTTGTACCAGATAAAGTGTTATTGCGAGGAGTTCTTCTTCATTACTTTAACATGAAGAAAAGTGCTACCGAAAGGCATCGTATTTTACTGGACGTTTATGGTGACCATGCTTTAGCCGAACGAACGTGCCAAAAGTGGTTTGCACGATTTAAAAGTGGCAATTTCGACTTAGACGACGGAGAACGACCCGGACAGCCAAAAAAATTTCAAGACGAAGAATTGGAGACATTGCTCGACGCAGATGCATGCCAGACGCAAGAAGAACTTGCAAAAGTATTAGGAGTTGATCAAGCAACCGTTTCCAGACGATTAAAATCATTAGGATTAATCCAGAAGCTTGGAAATTGGGTGCCTTATGAATTAAAGCCAAGAGACGTCGAACGTCGATTCTGCATGTCGGAAATGTTGCTTCCACGCCACCAAAAGAAGTAATTTATGCATCGGATTGTCACTGGCGATGAAAAGTGGATTAATTATGATAACCCAAAGCGCAAGAGATCGTATGTAAAGCCCGGCCAACCATCGACATCCACGGCAAAGCCGAATATCCAATGGGCAAAGATTATGCTATGTATTTGGTAGGACCACAAGGGTGTGCTCTATTATGAGCTATTGAAATCGGGTAAGACGATCAATGGGCACATCTACCGAAAACAACTGATTCGTTTGAAAAAGGCCATCGCGGAAAAACGACCAGAATATGCGACCAATAATTGCGAATCAATAATTTTTCATCATGACAACGCTCGGCCACATGTTGCAAGGCCAGTTTAAAACTATTTGGAAATCTGTGGGTGGGAAGTTCTACTTCACCCGCCTTATAGCCCAGACATAGCACCTCCCGATTACCACTTGTTCAGATCAACGCAGATTGCCCTCACCGGAGTACGCTTCACTTCAGAACAGGGTATCAGAAATTGGCTCGATTCTTTCTTGACCTCCAAGTCGGAGAAGTTCTTTTGGGATGGGATCCACAAAATGCCAGAATGATGGGCAAATATCGTAGCTTGCGATGGGCAATACTTTGAATATTAAATGTATAACAATTTTTTCACAATAAAGTCTTGATTTTTGAAAAAATCGCACGAATTAATGCGTACACATATAAAATCAGAATGACGAGATGAGTTGAACTCCGATTGACTGTCTGTCCGTCCGTTTGTCCGTGCAAGCTGTAACTTGAGTAAAAATTGAGATATCCTAAAAACCCGATTCATCGAAAACTTCTAAATTGCCATAACTTCGCCGCATATTGAGATACAAAACTGTACTGTCACTTTTTGTGACAGCGTGAAAGCAAGTAAATTCGGATGATAACCACGCCCACTACCCATATCACGGTTTTGTTAAATACTACTAAAAGTGCGTTAATTCAATAACCAAATGCATCAGAGACATTAAATTTTGCACCTAGGATAACACAAGAGGGCTTTATAAGAGCAGGTGTCGAAATTGGACGATAGGCGTGACACCGCCCACATTTAGGTAAAATCACATATTTTCTGACCTATTAGACCAATTTTAACCAAATTCGGTACATAAGATTATTTTGACATTTCCGTGTTACATTGCGATAATCGGAATGCAACCACG